TGCAGCGCTAGTGTCGCGCGCGACCCCAGCGCGGGGAGTTTGAAATTGGAGAACGGTCAAGCTTGGTTTTTCTATCCGTAAAAGTATAGAAACCTAATTTCATCCCCCCCAAAAGTGAAGGGGATTGGTGGGAACGCGTGAGAATAATTGCTTTGCCCGAGCTTTCGCCGCATGCAGTCAGGATGCATTCTTGAAATGTGGAACACTATACATAAGGGGACACTTTTTTTTTAACTTAGTGAAAAAAAATGATTTAGTGTAAGTTTACTTAAAATTAAAATGACTTTGTTATATTTTTCTGAAAAAAAAAGTAATGGTGGATTTTTTTAAAAATTAGTGAATTAGAAAGTTATGCTTTGTTTTGGAAGGGTAGAATTTTTTTTTTAACTGGTTAATAGAAGCTGATGCAAAATCTTCACCTCTTGTTCTAAGACACAGATAAATTCACCATCTGATATGAGCATGCATTTTACATGTGTTGATCTTATAGTCACTTCCGTAATGACCAAATTTTAAATGCTCGAGAAGTATTCTTTCCTCACTGCGCAGATCATGGATATTCAACTTTAAAACTCAAAATGTTTCATTTACTTTGTGCTTGTGTCTATACATGACCCCAACTCACATTTTGCTTAGGATTGTTTGAATGATTCAAATTACTTTCAAAGGTGCAACCAAAATTTAAATTACTAAAAGTTGCTTTATTTTATATTTGTTTTCACTTTGGTTTGGGATAAGCAATCTTGTTTCTAATAGGTAGGCTAGTTATTTGCTTATTTGGCTTAAATTAAAATGCACTATAAATCAACCCAGGTATTTTTAATTGGTAGGAAAACAAGCCCTCAAAGATTGCTAGGAATGAGGAATACAATGTTCGACGCAAAGTATATACTTTATCATAACTTTATCTTCAGGTCATGTAGGAGGCTGAAACCTTTTCAAAAAAGGTTAAATGCCTGGTTAGCTTCAGACAGCACTGAGTAATTTGGTACACTTTACATTAACGTTGAAGTAAATACCAAAAAAGTGTGTCCTGGTGAGACAGCCAGGCCATGTCACCTATCCAGAGTGCAGAGCACAGCGCCTAAATGATAGGTCGACCAACGAAAAATACACACACCAGTTATTCCTTATGGTCTAGAGAAGGCCACCGATTCAATTTTCAACCGCAGGTAGGACTATTTAAGGTGAAAATGTTAATATTCAGTTCGCTGTCGATCGGTTACAGACAGACAGATCAGGTTACTCCCGTCACAAAACATGCTCGGAGCGTCAAAATAGTACTTCGACAGACCAAAACGTCACTTAACATTAAAATAAAACATTCACAGCGTCCTTTCGCAATGGGTTTTAAATCGATATGAGTTATTCCAGAGGTGAAAATGTTAATCTCAAGTGGGTAATCGGCCAGCTGTGCCTACGCAACGACGTAAACAAGAGCAGAAGGCAAATGGCGGCGAAATCGTACATCCAGCGCTACGGGTGGCGGAAAGAGAAACTGAGGGGATAGCCGACACATCGGCACACGAGAAAGGGTGATTTTTGAACGGGAATATATTTTAACTGTGAACGTTTTCGGTCAATTTAGAGTTTCGGTGTAACTTCCCCATCCCTTGGGAGTACGCCGAACAAGTTGTTTCTGCGACCAGTACTCTCAATATTTTTAACCGCTCTGCTCCAAGGCACCGTGCTCCCGGGGGTGGCTCGCAGTACCCTCTCCTTTCCTCGTCCTCTCTTGCTTAAGCTGATGCAGCCCTGCTGGCCTCTTAGGTTTATCTGAAATATCTGCATTGAACGTTTTACTCGTATTTCCATTCTGTTTTCACAGGTGCACTGACAGTCGCAGCCCTTCATAGAGGAAGAATTGCAAAGCAGTGTTGTTTCATCTCCATAGTGGTCCGTCCTACCAATGTACCACCTCTTCCCCTGTCTACCGAGGGAGGATTTGACAGCTTTGAAAATTTCTTGAGGAAGGACTTAGCATTCAGTCAAACTGTAAGTCTTTTTCTTTTCTAATTTCTGTATTATAGATCGAATGTTAAATTATAGGCACATGGTGCTCTCCTTCGGGTGAACTACTTATTGGGACAAATGGTCACTAAACGTGAAGGCTGAGGCCACCCGCCAATTGCTAAGCCAAGATGTGTCGCTGGATAAAAAATTGCAGAGATTGATTAGTTGGTGTGGAGCATCTGAAAAAAAAAATAGCTTCCAAATTACTTTAACACTGCTTGTTTCAATTCAGGTGCTCTCCTTAAGTAGTTCAAGAAATCTGATTTAACTAAGGCAACAGCTGCTATGAAAAGATGGTTCGAGACTTCAGCTCAAAGACAAGATAGAATTGTTTTTACATTTCCATTTTTCTGAACTCATGCTAGCTTCCTTGTAAAATGTCTAATTTCTAATCGTAATTTTGTCTGTTTGCAGTATTATTCTTAACTATAGGAAATTGAATTGTATGTAATAGGTTTGTTTTTATTTCCCTCAGGAGATCTGTTGAATTAAAGCAATTCAACAAGTTAGGAGAAAAGGTTAAATACGGTCCGGCAAGAAGTTTGATGAGATAAGTCTGTTGTATTTTTGGCCAGCTTTGCATCATTATTGAAGCATATGGCACGCTGCTGTTGAGTCTATAAATCTGCAGACCACCTTAAACATACATCAACATTTACACATAAGTAAGTTAATCAACACAATTAATTTTTGTAGGCAAAACAGTTCCTTCACTAGTAATAACCCAAATCAATAAGTTTTATATGTAGAATTCAGTGTGAGTTACATCTAGATCATAAGATCTTGATGACGTGTCCATTTTTAATTGGATACATCAGTGAAATAAATTAAATGGTAAATAACATCATCAAGTTGAATATATCAACCAACTTTTTCTTTGTAAGGTTCCAGCTCTCGTTCCATTGTGAGTTGAAACTCGTTAAAGATCAGAGTAGATTCTTACACAGGCACAACAGAATAAGGTAATCAGTCATCTCAAAATAATTTAAACTTCAACAGTACTACTAATAATACTGTAACTGACCAGTTCTTGCATTAAGTATCTCAATAATGAAATTAAACAAAAAAACCACAAGGTAGTGTATTTTAAACTGGCTGAGTTAGATCTTGTACAAATGCTTTTATCTTAACTCTATTCATAGTGAATGAACATCAGAAAGATTGGCTTTAGCTTAAGTAACAAATTTATGACTAACAACAAATGTGAAGGTCGACCATAAGCTAATAGAGGGTAAATCATTAAATAACTTAAAGCTTTTAACAACAAATGTGAAGGTCGACCGTAAGCTTATAGAGGGTAAATCATTAAATAACTTGAAGCTTCTTTATGTTCTTAAAATTATGACTGGAGGAAGTTAATAGTTCATAAAAATATAATCAATATCCACAAAATGTTTTCAAACTATCACTCAACTAAAATTGCAACATGTCAAAATAAATCATATAAGTAAAAGAGTACATAACAAAATATATGTTCAAAAAAATTAATTACAATTAACAGTTGTGTTTAATGTATTACTTTGTTTTTCAGAAATATTTTCAAAAGAAAATAAACTAAAGCAAGGAACAAAGGATAGAATTATTTTGCTGCCTAAGTGGTTTCTTGCAAGTCATCATCTGGATGCAAGTCAGCAGGTGTGTTAGGATGCTCATCTTGTACCGAGGCATCAGTCACAAGATCTTGGTAGAAATTGTGGTGGGATGGATCGATAAACTGAAGAAGTGACATCAAGTCTTTCTTTTTCTTGATTGAAATTGGCATTGGACCATAATAGGCCAATTTCAGTAAAGGCGACAGAGGTGGCAAACTGCTTTGCTTCCTTTGGCGGCGGAAGTCCAGCTCTTCAAAGGGAGCATGAATATTAAATGCTGTCTTCACTATCACAATTCCAGGTTTGTTCTTCTGATAACAGAACCAGTGTGTGGACATGTACTTCAATTCATTCCTGTCTGAAGTAACTTTTCGTTTTACTAAGGGATTGGATTCTTTCAGAAGATTCCCAAAGTCATAAATCTTGGATCCCATCAGGTTTACTTGGAACTTTCCTTCTGGAAAGTTTTGCACATCGACCATGCCAGCTTTCTTTACCAACTGATAATAATCTGAAGGTACGTTAATAACTTCTTCTTTTTTCTTTGCCCTTTCAATTACTGCATGTTTAGCATCGCATTCCATCCGAGTGTGGCCAGGCACAAGAAAAACATGATTTATTGTTTTTACAGTTGGATGGACCTGCAGGGCAACATGGAACATGGCACATACCACGGAATTCCTGTTTTGCCCAGAGCAACAGTCAGAGAACAGGTATATTTCAGTAACACCAGGGGGGATGGCAGTCTTGACGTGTTCGAAGATACAGGAAGCAATTTCATTTGCCCCTCTCATGGCTTCGCCTTCATGCCACATATAGCAATGCAGCAGCTTCGTGGTTGTATCGTAAATGGTCAAATTGTACGTATAGAGCTGTCTTTTATAATATATAGTACCACAGTTCAGGTCTGGTGAGGGTAAGCACTGCTCTAAGTCAAACACAAAAACTCTTATTGTTTCATCTTCCTGGGCTTTTGATTTCATTTCTTTTTTGAGTTCATATGCTTTTTCAGCTTTTCTTAAATGTAACTGATACTCCTTTTCTAAGACGGCCTTTTCTTCCTCCAGGGCATGTTTAATAGTTGCTACAAATGTGACACATTTAGAGCAGGTGTCTGACAGTCTTGGGTGAAATTTCAGTTTTAGAGTTTTGAATAATCTTTGGTAAGTTGAATATGATACACTTTCCTCTGGGGTGGAGTGGGCTTCAAGGTATAGCTTATGCATTTCCTTCAAATTCAGAGTCCTAGGAAGGTATTTTTGTGACGTCGTGTCTTTCCTGCAATAGTGCGAGACAAAGCTTGGAAATGATTCAATATGGCTTAATACCAAATTTTTCTTGTCCACTGAGAGTTTGTGTGGGGGAGCCTTTTTCCCTCTTCTATCTGATCGAAGAATGCCAGAGATATTCCCTTACTTCTTATCCAACACAAACTCAACAAAAGTATCACTTATATCTAATGTCCTTAAAAAAGTATCCTTGCAAACTTGGACCCTTTCAGTACCAGTATTTAAAAAAAAATTGTTACTTGTTGTTTTTATAATACCATTGTCTGGATTTCTCTGTCTGCGTCTAGCAACAGGAGTGCTTTCGGTCCGTGCTGCCACATACTGGACTCTCACAACCTGGAATTTGTATGGAGCTAATCTCTCAAGCCAACGTGCAAGCTTACCTGTAGGATTCTTAAAATTCTTTAACCACTGCAATGCTGCGTGGTCAGTCTTAACTACAAATGGTGCACCTGCCAGGTAATGATGGAATGCTTTTATTGATTCTACTAGTGCAACTAGCTCCCTGTGTGTTGCGCAGTAATTTCACTGGGCAGGGTTTAAAGTTTTGGACCAATAGGCTATTGTGACTTCTTTCCCATGCTGTTGTTGGCTTAGGACACAACCAAGGCCAAACAAACTAGCATAAGTGGTGATAGTGAATTCACCTTGAGTCACATCTGGGGTACCTAATATGGGTGCTGTTGTCAGAAGTGTCTTTATTTTATCAAATGCCTCCTGACACTCCTGGGTCCACTCAAATTCTTGCCCTTTCTTTTGCAAACTTAAATATTGGATTAGCTATAGATGCCATGTGTGGGACATACTTAGAGTAGTACTGCACTAGACCTAGCCATGATCTTACCTCTTTTACATTAGTTGGTACTGGCCAACTCATTATTTTCTCTATTTTATTTTGGTCTGTTTTTATTCCTTTTTCAGATAGCCTGTGCCCCAGATAGGAAACTTCTGGCTGGAATAATTCACATTTCTTTGCTTTTAAGCAAGAAACCTGCTGCTCTGATCCTGTTGAATAGAGCCTCTAATCTTTGCAACATTTCTGGGAAATTATCCCCACCTATGCAGATATCATCAAGGTAAACTGACACTGTGTCTCCTAAATCATTTTGAGGGTTTTTCTCGAGGGCTGGAGTGATGATTCGGTCAGTAATATACTGGAAGGCACCTGGTGCTGCAGCCAGCCCGAAGCTTAGCCTGGTAAACTCAAACTGTCTATGTGCAAGTCCCAGACCTTCCGGTAATATTATAGCCGTCTTGGGTTGATCATCTGGATGTATCTCAAGGTTGTGGTATCCATGGGCTAAATCAAAAGCATGATACATCTTTTTGCCTCCCATAAGATGCAACAAGTCCTGTACCCTTGGTATAGGCGTGGCTGGGACCCTGGTGACTGCATTCAGTGCCCTGTAATCAATACAGACCCTTACCTCTCCAGTCTTTTTCATGACACAAAGAATCGGAGAGGCCCAGGCTGATTGACTGGGTATGATGGCCCCTTGTTCCAAATACTTTTTAATGGTCTCCATTACAGCCTGCCTATAGTGTAGGGGTATGGGCCTTGCTGTCTGCTTAATGGGTGGATGGTCACCTGTGTCTATTCGAAATTTAGTCCAGGGACATTTACCAAAAGTAGTGTTTATCCTTGGCAAAGATGTCATGGTGTTTTCTTAACAATTTAGCTAACTCTTGTCTTTCTGTTTCAGACAGTTCGGTGCATTTGTCTACCAATGCCTGGAGATCTTTAGGGAGTGGTTCACTCTCCTTAATCTCTGGCATACTTGGTGTCGTGTTATATTCTGCATCTACGAACTGAGTTGTCTCATGGTGTACCACATTTACCTGTGCTGTATCCTCTGTATCTTCCTCTCCATCACTCTCCTCCCCCTCCTCTTCTTCTTCTGTGATTCCAATAAATTCCTTCTCGTATTCGTCTGGGTGTAGTATAAATACTTCCCCTAGCACTGCATACTTGGGTATGTTGACGCATTTATCCCCAAAGTTTTGCATGGTCACAGTGATTGGTGCTGAGACACACGGGACAATTGTTGGTAGTTGACCTATTGGTAGTTTTGAAACCTTGTTTCCAAATGCTTGATTTGAAACAAATACTCCTAACTTTGTCTCTCCTGATAACTGGTTTCTATTTCTATTTTGGGTACCCTTGGCTTCTTGAGCCCTGCTACTTCCAGAGTCTGTCAGCACTTCTTGATTAACCACCTTGGTTTCTAGAACCACCCTGCTCTGGGAATGGCTCCTTTCACCTCGGCTGTAATCCTGAGTCTGACCACTACCTGGACAGTCGTCAGTTCTTTCCCTAACCGACTCATCAGTTATCGAATCCGCTCTTAATTGTGTTTTAATTTCTTTCTCTGCAAATGGTTTCAATGTAAAGTTGCTGTCCGCTCTAATACGGTAGACAACTCTGCCTGTGGTGTACAACTTTGCAAACTTGGACTCCTCTAGAGTGAATGGAATTGTGATCCTGTCGTGTCCTTCCCCAATCTCTGCAACTTGCATTTTAATCTTAATCACTGCATCAAACTTGTGCAGGAAATCGATGCCAATTATGTGTTCCTTGATGTCTGCCTCATAGGTCATGTGTTCGAATTTCTGTCCTTCGATTTCAAATGTCGTCATTGCTGACTTGCTTTGTGTGACGTAACTCCTTTGAGTTTGAGCTTTGGTACTGGGAGGTCTCTTGTTCTGGGGATTACAGTAATAACAGCTGCATTATCTAAACAAACTCTTTGTACTTTATTCAGAATTGTACATTTGATTATAGGTGCTGAGTTAACACTGCTAGTATTACAAATATTACAAGGAACCTCCCGGTGACCATCAAGCTCAATTTCAGAGTCAGAAGCTCTGTTAAATTAACAAAATCTGGAGTTTTGGTCACCGGTGGTTTTACATAAACTTTTTCAGTCTTTTCCTCAACTTCCGTTCCCACCGTTTCAACAGAAGTTGTTTCTAGTTTTCCTGGTCCTTATCTTTGTCCTCGGGGACATAAGGACTCTTGCCCTTGCTGGTTGAGGGTTGCTGGTCGTTTTGTTGGCTGAGGAACCACTGCATGGTGGCCTTGTAGAGGTCAGGTGGTACATTGGGCATGGCGAAGCCTGAGCTTCCCTTTCTGCTGCCAGCTCCACTCCGGCAGTTCCGCGCCATATGACCCTTTCTGCCACAAGTGCGGCAGACTATGTCTTCTATGGGGGTCCTGTCTTTGTTGTGCCAACAGTTAGCGGCCCTGTGGCCCCTCCTGTTGCATACGTGGCAAATCATCTCCTTGTCAGAGCCTGGCCAGCCACCTCTTCCCCCTCTTCCTGAGCCTCTACCTCCTCCTCTCAGCCCTCTGCTGCCGCGGCCTCGGCCGCGGCCGTGCTGGGTTTGTGCGTCTGCTTTGGACGTGGAAGCTGAGCTGGAGGGGAAGACCATGTTGACTTTGTAGGTCTTCTCCTCTTTAGCTTCGTCCTTTTCCGCGATCTCTCCTTCCTCCTTCTCTTCTGTCTTGGTGAGACGGACTCTCTTGGCCACAGGTTCTTCTAACTGGAGGCTCAGACCCCTATTGAGGGTCTTCAGGGCCTCGTCCAGGTTGGGCAGAGCTGCGAATGCCAACCGGGATGCCGCCTTCTTGTCCGCCAGGCCCTTGATGAATCTCTCCACCAAGGCCTCTCCCAAAGAGGAATTTTGGTGGAAGGAACGTGGATTCCACGTAGATTTGTGACGTGGATTCAACGTCGAGTATCCACGTGATATCCACGTGGATTTGACTCCTTTATCCACGATATTTCGACGTGGAAATCACGTCGATTGAAAAACATGTTTTTCCAACCTTGAGTGGAGTTGAACCTGGAACCTTTGAGTTAGTAGTCTTGTACCCTATCCATTACCCTACGGCGACGCTGCTGGAAGAGGAACGCCAGCTACCGATCCCTTTCTAAAGCACACGCACAGCGCCCCAGCAAGCTCTCTGGCTTATAGGGCGTTGTGCGTTGTACGTTCAGAAGTATAGCCTTGAATTTAATTAATAATTGTACTTGACAAAATTAAAAAATTTGTTCGATTATACAAAGCTTTGAACACTATTTTTAACGTTGAACGTAATAGACATTAAAGTGGATATCACGTGGATTCTACGTTATTTCCACGTTCTTTCATGAAACGTGAAAAACAAAACAAACTGCATCTCTCCGAGAAAACTGTACAATTATATACCACATTTAGCAATAACTACTAGCTTATCATACGTTTTTTTATGGTTTATATCTGATGCATAGTGGAGGAAAAAACTGGAATCCACGTGATATCCACCAATTCGAGTTCAAATGAACGAATGTCACAAAAGGGGAAATTATCCATCTCTCTTCAGTTATAAGTTATCGTTCTGCATTTAAAAGTGAACAAGAGAACAAAGCCAAGGGTGGTTGAAATACCGTGGATGTATCCACGTCCACGAGATTTCCACGAATCCACGTGGAATCAACGTTGAATCCACGTACCGTTCCTCTTTGGGTCTTGGATATGGAGGCGGACCTGCCGAAGGTTCGGATTAGAGCCTCGTCCAGACTCTCGTAGGTGATCGGCACCTCCTGGTGCTTGAGGTTTGCGATCACGTCAGTGGCATTCCCCGTCAGGGCCTGGATCAGGGCCGTCTTGCGGTCCTGGATGTTCCATTGTTCCAGTCGTTGGCCTCCGCGACTGTATCAAATTGGATTTGATAGACTGTATAGTCCGTTTCACCGTCGTACTTCGGTGCCTCATTGTACTTTTTGGGTTTGTTGTGACCCACGGTCCTGGCCATCGCCTCCAGGAATCTTGCGAACAACTGATCTTGCGGTGGCACCTGCGCCTGCTCATGCTCTTGTTCGTCGTCGGCGTCCTCTTCAGCGTCGTCATACTGTCCTTGAGCTCCGGCCCAGTATCTCCTCCGTCCTGCTCGAGCGTGCCTTGGACCACGGTTGTGGTGCTCCCTCTCTGGCCGCTCCAAATGGTACGGTGCCCACAGGCGGCGGGGTCTCCCGTACTTTCGGTCTGGGCCCTGGAGTTCGTCCTGCTCATATTCATCTTCGAAGTCTTCTTCTTGGACTTGCTGTCCTTGGTGCGTGGCGGCGCCCTGGCGTACTTCGGCGCCCTGCTGCTGTTCTTGGACTACTTCTTGCCGGCCTTGCGGCGCTGGCCCCGCACCTTGAAGTGCTTCTCCCTCCTGTCCCTCTTCACGAAAACGTCTGGGTGGTCGTCGGTCTCGGTCTCCTCGTCGCTGCTGTTGTGCACGTTGAGGACCTTCACCTTCCTCGATAACGAATTCCATAACTCGTCGGTGTTGCCCGCGGCCTCGTCCTCGTCCTCCACGGCCTCGACGTCCACCTCTTCCTCTTCCTCGAATTCCCTCCACGAACATGTCGGGCGCGTTGGCGACGTTGACCATGTTGACAACCTCGGGTTGTACGGCTTGAGCGCCCTGCTGCTCAGCGTCGGACTCGCCGACTGAGAGGTCTGTGTCGGTGTCCGCGTGGAGCGCGATTGCGTTCATGGCGATGTTCTGCTGGTCCATTCAGGATCTAGGTTCTCCTTGTCGACCTTTATGGTCAGGTTTTGGATTTCCGGCAGGTGCGCGTGTCGAGCAACTTGTCTCTGCATGCCTTCCTTTCGGACCCCTTAACCTCTCAGGACTCCTCTCGGACTTCCCTACTACGACTGAACTATAACCTCAAAACGCACTGGTGCACTGTATGACGTTCGTAGGTCTCAGGCAATCGACACGTTTAGACTATCTTCACCTAGGCGGCCTTGGGCCTGCTTCGGCTCCTCGATTGTATGACACTTAATAGGTCTCAACGAGGTCCTTAACCAACTATCCCGAGCGTATGACACTTAATAGGTCTCGCCGGGTCCTAACCTCCCTAATCCTGAGCGTATGACACTGAGTAGGTCTCGCCAGGTCCCTATCTAAACTTAGCGTGTGACACTTAGTAGGTCTCGCAAGTTTCTAACCTCTTCCTCCGTCCTTTACCGCTGCCACCAATGTAGTATTTGGGGTTTTGGAAGAGCCAAGATCATGTGAACAACAGATCGCATGAGTGGTAAATGGCCACGAGTCGAAGGCTCGCGCCTCTATTTATTCAGTGTTTGGCATAACAACAAGAAGAACAAGGCGATCGTAAAACAATTAAATGGTTCAGGGGTTTCAGTGTAGGTGTCGCCTCCATAGTGATCACTAGTGGCCGTGACTAAGGGTATTCTGCTGTAACCTGGTTAGGTTAATGTTACCATAATACTACAATACGTTACCATTAGTTGGTATTTCATTCATTCTCTTATAGCTTAATTTTATGTTTTTGTAAAGGGTACACTGTTATTCAAGGAATGTGACGTCACATTCATTTCAATGTGAAATGTGTCACATTCGTTTGAATATTGTGTCACACTCATTTAAACGTGACTTCAGGTGAATTGATGCTCTAATGGCGCCAGGCTTGGCCGATTCACGTTTAAACGAATATGACACAACATTCAAACGAATGTGACACGATTCACATTGAAACGAATGTGACGTCACATTCGTTGAATAACAGTGTATTGTTGTTTTTTAACCATTCTAAAGCCCTTAAAACCCTACATCTGTTTACTATGAAATCATTATGTCCATTTGATGTATCCAATCTGACCGTGATGACTCTTTTAAGTTCTTGAAAGCTTAAAGGCAAGACATTGGCTATTTCCTGTATATCCTGAGGAAAGTTAATTACATTTCCTCTATATCCAAATTGTGAATTTTTAATTTTGTATAAAGATGCAACTGGATGTATCCTAGCTATTAGCTGTCTTTCTATGAATGTTAAATTTTGTAGTTCAGGAGGTACTTGTCCTGGGTTTAGGCCTTTTATACCACCATTTTTTTTACAACATAAGCACTTGTTGTGCTTGAGAGTGCTTATTATTCTTTTTGTATGGCACTTTTTGCAATGGAATGTGGTAATGCTTTTTTCAAAAATTTCTAGGTTATATTGTTCTATGTCTAAATTTACCTTAAACT